CTCCCCTCAGCAGTGTATTTCAGTCAATCCACCTGTTCTGCTCCCTACTCTGTCTCTGGTGAATCCTCTCACCCCCTCACACCTCTGGCCTATGCCCCAGTTCTTGTATGCATAAATAAATAAATCTTTTTTAAAAAAGAAGAAAGAAATGAGCATAAATGTGAGGGTAAAATACTAAAAAATATATATTTTTTTTTATTAAGCAAAGGCTTCTTTTAGAAGAGCCTGAAATATTGAGAGCTTGCAGCTAAAGGGCATCTTTCACTGATTCTTTATTCCACATTGTACTCCTGCCCGCATAGCCTCCATTCAGAGAAATGAATGCAGTGAATAATCATTCATTGAATTCTATCTGCTATGACGCTCCCGGGTCCCTGAAACTGGTGTTGTTGAGTCGGAGGCTTTTCCCAGACCTTCTTCTTAGCACCTTCCAGACAAGTTGGCCATCTGGAGCTAGCCTTTTCTGTCTACACCGACCTGACTCAACAGGAACTGTGCCAGAATTACTCTCTTCTGGTGCCTCTTCTCCTTTCAACTCCATTCCCCCAGCACCTATAGCCTGCTGGAGGTGAGAATGAGAAGGGGTGCATTGATCACCCAGTGGGCGGCTGAGACTATGGCCCTGATCTCGTCCACTATTTCCCATTCAGTCTGGAGAACATGGTATGTTACCTCTGCATGAACCACACCAAGAGGCAATGCCCTTCAATCTCTAGTAACTAGGAAGAGGGTCAGGATTGGGACCTCATCCCAGAATAGCCAGAGCACTAGGCAAGGAACCAAGATTTGGATGCAACTGCCTATTACTGGATATAGTGGGTGCTTGGGAGAAATGGATGAGATCATTTTCTGGAACAGTCATAACAAACCAGCATGAAGGATGGCTGGAAGCTGAGGATCCAGTGTCAACGCCAGGACATCCTGTATCCCCACGGGGGTCAAGCCTGGTTCCACAGTGGCCATAGGTGCTTGTCAGCTCTTACGTTACAGAGAAAGGAGTGTGGGATAAACACTAAACACCTCCCAGTTCTTCAGCTGTTTCTATTCTATTCTGAGAGCAGTATGTTGAGGTAACCCTTGTTTCTGGCTCTTTCATTTGACTAGTGACTATCAAAAAGAAAATCAATCAGGGCCTCCCTGGTGGTGCAAGGGGTTAAGAGGCAACCCATGAAGCTGTCTACAACAACTGCAGCGTGAGTTCGATCTTCAGCCAGGGAGCTACCCACATGGCACAGCAGACCTCTCCTGTCTTGCCTGCTGCTCCCCTCAGCAGTGTATTTCAGTCAGTCTGTCTGTTCTGCTCCCCGCTCTGTCTCTGGTGAATCCTCTCACTCCCCCACACCTCTGGCCTGTACTCTGGCTCTTGTATGCATAAATAAATAAATCTTTTTAAAAAATCAATCAAATAACATAAAGGATTTTCCTGGAGATGGCTTTCGAACCAAGCAGATGTGTGCTTGAATTATGTCTCTTCCATTTACTGATCCTTTAGTGTTGGGTCAGCGTTCCTGATTTTCTGCTTTATATTTTGTTGAAGAGGGATTTTAATATAGACTCAAGAATACTGTCATGACAGATAACTTCATCTGAGCACAGAGCAGAGAGTGTTTGGTCGCAGACACCCACCCCTAGGAGATTTACACGTCGATGCCTGTGTCCCACCTCTCTGAGAGCATTTCTGCCCCATGACCTGGGGGATCCCCATATGGTTCCCATATTTAGACAAGTTTGGAAGCCCCTGGCATAGAGTCTGTCCTCTACTGGATGTTAATATCTGGTACATGAATGGAAACCATCAGCGCCTGGTACATTCTAGACTTCCTAGATTTCTCAGCCCCCTTCGCTCCCCTGAGCATCTCTGCTCAGTGTGGGAGCCTGAAGACATGGTGTCCAGCTGTGATCCCAGTAGAGGTGGCTGTCCCCACAACAGGCCCACGTGCAAATGTAGAAAGCTCTGGAATCAAGTTGTAACATCCCACAGGAGGTGAGGCGGAGAAAGAGGCTGATAAGTTGCACGCTGCAAGGGGCAGCCCATGGAGATCTTGTTAAGGGAACATCTAATGAGTTTGTTTTCAAGTCCACTGTACAGTAAAGCCCCTGAATGCTAATTGTGAAGTAACCTAGGAAACCAGAGCTTAGTTTTGTGAGCTCGCAGAGGCTGATACAGGAATAAGCCAGAACGTACAAAGGAAATCTCGAAGGCAGTTTCCACTGGTCCTGATTTCTCATATTTGAGGGCTTTTCTCTTTTCTTTTTCTTTTCTTCCCTTTGATCAATGAACACTTTTATTACCAAAAAATTTACAGTGCAGTGTAATTATGTCTTACAAGATAATTACAAGATTTATGTTATAACATTAATTCACAATATCCTTCCGATCATATGGGCCCTAAGTGTCCAGTAATGGGACAGAGTTTAAAGTTAGGTAGTAAATGTCTTATATTCTCAGTCATGTCAGTTTACATCACTTGTGCATATTATAATCACGTCGGTTCCATCAAGATACGAGGCAGGCAGGAAAATGCAGTCTTTAGCAAGATGATTGACACTGTCCATCACGCCACTCATTATCGCTACCTTTAGTGCACCTGCCGTACATATATTTTGAGTTCTTTTCTTTTGAGATACAATTAAATAGTCCCATTTTTAGTTTCCTAGCCAACATTCGTTGCAACAAATCTTTTGATTGGTGTTCCTGAATCAGCCATCAGTTCCAAAGAGTTGAACACGTAGCTTATTGGTTTCAGAGTCCTCTAACGACTCTTAGAAAGAAGCTCCGATTTCTGAGAGCAAAGGAACCACCTGTATCCTTCTACAACTAAGAAGCCAGCGCCATCTCCCCTTTCCACAACTTCAGGGGTCTATAAGCAGCAGAGTCCACATGCAGGAGAGTCATCCCAGCACTGAATGTGTCAGTGATCGTGTGTTTATGACCCTCAGTGTCTGGAACAAAGAACTGGAATATTGTTGGATGCACAAAGTTTATATGATGTTCTTGTGATGCAGAGCAATTCTCAAATGTCACCCCAGGAACATAATAGAATACATTTAAGATACTGAAAAAAAATGTGGCCAATGTCAAGACCTCTGCAGTCATTTTCTTTTTGACCTGAGAATCCTAATGGAGTCAGTCTGGTCTCCCTTAGAAACAAGAAACAAGCCATCACAAATTATATCTTCAAGACATGCACCCTCCAACTTGCTCAGTTTTAAGGCATGCATTCTGAGTAAGAGAAGCATCTTTAATTTGCAGCCTAATTCTATACTTAATAGGGTTCCTGTAAGTGCTTTGAAAATAGTGTTTTTTCCCCAACTGAAAATTATTTACAGGTGAAAACTTCAGGTGATAATGATACTTTGTAATCCTGAGTGGGTGATGAAAATAAGAATATGTTATCTGTGTAAAAAGCTCACATGTAAGTGATAGTTCCTATTTTGTATCTGTATTGAAAATATGTGTCCCATTTCTACCAGATTCGATTGCTCAGTTTCCTATTTTGTAAATCATATAAGCTTATAATTCCTTAGGAAAGGTGTACAGTTTTACTTCAAGGTTTAAAAGTAAATGGTATAAGGGCCTCCCTGGTGGCCTAGGGGTTAAGTTTCAGCTCTATCAAGCTATCGCCAGCCACTGCAGCACGAGTTCGATCCCCAGCCAGGGAGCTACCCACATGGTGCAGCAGACATCTCCTGTCTCGCCTGCTGCTCCCCTCAGCAGTGTATTTCAGTCAGTCTGCCTGTTCTGCTCCCCACTCTGTCTCTGGTGAATCCTCACACCCCCCCCACACCTCTGGACTACACCTCAGTTCTTCTATGCAAAAACAAAGTTTTTTAAAAAAGTAAATGTTATATAACCAGAGTTTGTTGTATATGTGTCCCATGCTACTAATTTAGTCCTTTGAAAACTTCCCCTCTGAGGTCCTCTCAGACATTAAAACAAATCCCTCTGTTGTCGCTCACCTTTTACTGCTATTGGATTTGTCAAAATTTCATATTGAAAGCAAAGTTGCACAAAGCAGAAAAATTAAGAACAAGCAGAGAGCTTGCCCGGGAAGGCTCCAGGTTTTAGTTGCTCACTAACCACCAACATTGGATGCACCAGACTCCAACATGGATCCGGACCCCGATTATGTCCAGCTTTGAATAGTGCGAGGCCTGCACACTGAAAAGTGAGCCCCAGGGAGAGGTTCAGTATTTCTCTAGCTGCTGAAAAAGGTTTAAAAATATTGAATATTTTCCTTATGCCTAATACTTTGTTTACATCTCATATTTTACCAATGAGTATTGTCACCACTCTGTCTTTGGTGATCTGTCCCTAAAAGGTCAAACCTCTTTACCAGTGTCCCATGTTTTTCAGATTCTCACTGGTCAAGGTCCAGCTCCACTCCTATCCCAAGCGTTGGACGTGAACCTATGAATATGGCTTTATTTGCCTCTGAGTTGGCAGCATGAGTCATGGATGTGGCGTTTCCACTGACAAGGCTGCCCAGCTCAGTCACACTCTGCTCCCATGGTGGATCCCCCCCTTGAACCCCAATCCCCCCAACAGGCCCGTGATGCACAGTTGTGCCTCTTCCATGGCCTTTGTGAAATTCTTTTTTTTTAAAGATTTATTTTATTTATACAAGAACTGGGGTATATAAAAAGAAAGAGAGAGAGAGAGAGAGAGAAATGGGGTACAGGCCAGATGTGCAGGAGGGTGAGAGAATTCACCAGAGACCGAGTGGGGAACAGAACAGGTGGACTGACTGAAATACACTGCTGAGGGGAGCAGTGGGCAAGATAGGCGAGGTCTGCTGCGCCATGTGGGTTTATCCCGTGGCCAGTGGGGATCGAACCAGCACTGCAGAGGCTGCAGACAGCTTCACAGCTCTGTGCTCAACTGTCTGCGCCACCAGGGAGGCCCTCTTTGTGAATTCTGAGCCCCATCCCCTCTTTGGTAACAAAATGGCAGCTCTCAGCACATCAGTCTCATGCAACGACTTCTTCCTTCTTCCCAGGGTCCAGTCGCATCCAGTGCATCGGCATCGCCTGTTCTCTCCCCTGGGCCCGCTTTCCCTCCACCCCCACCTCCTCCTCCTCCTCCTGGACCACCTCCGCTTTTTGAGAATGAGGGTAAAAAAGAGGAATCTTCTCCTTCACGCTCAGCTTTATTTGCGCAACTTAACCAAGGTGAAGCGATTACAAAAGGTGAGAAACCCAGAGCTGAATCTGTCTCCCTCTGGCTCCAGGATGCAGAGTCCCAGAGTCCACAGTGACGGGTGTGTCACAGCATCTCCATCCCCAACACACAGACTTAAGCAGGCAGAAGCCTGCCATGTGCCTCCTCTCCAGATAGATGGGCTCAGTGGGCTGTCGCGTGGACCAGAAAGAACTTGGAGACTGCGTTCTTAGTGGACCACTGCAGCCTCAACACTTCAGCCCCATCCACCACCACAGCTTCAAGATGAAGTAAATAAAAATGACAAATAGCCCCTCTGTCCTCAATTCATATGCCCGCTTGTCCAAGAATTACAGCATTGAGTTACCTGTGTCCTCAGGGCAAAAAGTTAAGTAAAAGAAAATCATACATTTTAAATATATTGGGGGCCTCCCTGGTGGTGCAAAGTGTTAGGTCTCAGAAGTATGAAGCTATCTGCAGCCTCTGCAGCATGAGTTTGATCCCCGGCCAGGGAGGTGACCCACATGGTGCAGCAGACCTCTCCTATCTCGCCCGCTGCTCCCCTCAGCAGTGTATTTCACTAGATCTGCCTGTTCTGCTCCCCACTCTGTCTCTGGCAAATCCTCTCAACTTACCCCCCAACAAACACACATACCTGTGGCCTATACCCCAGCTCTTGTATGCATAAATAAATTGTTTTTTAAAATAATTTTTAATGTATATTGGAATCAGAAACACATACATTCTAAACAATAAAGTCTGGTGGCAGAAAATTTGTATGAATATATTTTTGCTTTGCACAATTAATAAGAATTATGATATAAATTTCCCTGTGTCCTGGTCTAGGAACTAAGCATTCGAAATTGTCCATTTTTTCTGCCTTCTTGATGCAGCATTAGTTCATCTATAAAGTAAGGGAATGGACTCATCACCTTAAAGTCGAGCCCATACTCAGATATGCACTTATGGAAATGCCCTAACCTTTTAGGCAATACCTGGGGAATGATTTAGCCATAAGAGAAGTCAGTCATGTGAGCCTTTTGATGATTTGCTTTTTGCAAAATGTTTGTCTATCATCTTAGCCCCTTAAAAAAGAGGTTCTTTGAATGGAAAAATAATTCCAGTGCTTCTATTAACTCAACTTACATAGGACTCAGACTCAGCCCATGAACCTTGAGAAAACACTAGGCTATTCTGAAAATAGCACACCAGAACGCTCTATGCTATTTACATTGTGTTGCTCTAAGACATTAAGGATGAAATAAAAACAAGTGTCTGTGTGTTATCTCCCTGCCCCAGGACTCCGACACGTCACAGATGACCAGAAGACACACAAGAATCCCAGTCTGCGGGCGCAAGGCGGACAGACTACATCTCCATCCAAAAGCCACACTCCAGGCCCCACCCCACCCCACTCTCAGGCGCCTCAGAAACATGCTCCGGTGTTGGAGTTGGAAGGAAAGAAATGGAGAGTAGTGAGTGAAGCCCTTTAACCCTCATTCCTGACATGATCCAATGAAAGGCCCAATGGCTTAGCTGTTTCCCAGGGCCTCAGGGATCCCTAAGTAAGATGACAGAGGAAAAGTCACTGAGTAAAATAGAAACTGGGGCATTCCTATTTTTTAAATTTATTTTTATTTTCTTGCATCATTAATTTTTGAATAGTGCTTGATTTCTCCCCTCCGATGTAGTCCCTGTGTTTCTCCCACCACCACAGCATGGTGATCCATCACTACAGTCCCTTATGCTCTTCCTTCCCCTGTTTTGACCCCTCTCCCCCACCCTTGTTGCTTGCCTCAAATTTATGGTTAGCTTGCAAATTTTGTCTTTTTCCTGACCCTTTGTTTGGGTCCCCTATATTCCCCCTATAGGTGGAGCCATCCAATATTTATCTTGTTCCTTTTGATTTGTTTTGCTTCATATAATCCCTTCCAGCTCCATTCATGTTGCCACAGTTGGCCTGAGTTTATCTTTTTTGATTGCTGAGTAGTATTCCATTGTGCACATAGACCACATCTTCTTGATCCATTTGTCTGTTTCAGGGCATTTAGGTTGTGTCCTTTTCTTGTTATTGTGAATAGTGCTGAAGTAACCATAGGCGTGCCGGTTTCCTTGCAAATGAGTGTTTTTGTGTCCTTTGGGCAGATTCCCAAAAGTGGGATGGCTGGCAACCTTCACACAGCTGGACTGAAATCAGGGCATTTCTAAATGCTCCATGAGCATTCTTTGTTTTTCCTCATTTCTCATACATTCTCTTCTTGAACTTTGTTAAATTGTTTCTTTGAATTGTGGTAGAATACACACAATAACAGAGTTGCCGTCTCAACATTTAGGTGCCATGTGGCTTTTTTTTTTTTAATTTTATTTTTATATTCCCCAAACAATTGCAACCCCTTTATTTTGACCCCAACCCCTCCCCCCTGCCCCCCTCCCCTCATAAAGTGTCTCTGGTTCATAGTTGTTTGTTGATTTTTGATTTTTACTTTCTTATAGTTATTCTTTTTCCTGGTCCCTTATTTAAGTTTTCTAGATTCCTGCTATGAGTGAGACCATCCGGTATTTTTCTTTTTCTTTCTGGCTTATTTCGCTGAGCATGATCCCTTCCAGCTCCATCCATGTTGCTGCAAATGGCATGTGTTTATCTTTTTTGAATGCTGAGTAATATTCCATGGTGTATATGGACTACATCTTCTTGATCCAGTCATCTATTTTTGGGCATTTGGGCTGTTTCCAAAGCTTAGCTATTGTAAACAGTGCTGCTATAAACATAGGGGTGCAGGTGCTCTTTGGAGTTGATGTTTCTGTGTGGACTATCCCACTATGGAGCAGCCTTCACCCCCATCCAGCCACAGAAAGAATTAACTGTAAAACTGCAACTCTGTGCCTCTTAGACACTCACTCCCCACCCCACTACCCTCAGCCCCTGCAACATCTTTCTACTCAGTGAATCTAACTGGGTTTTCCATAAATTTTTCATCGGTACCTCATTCTGATCTGCTGTAGGTGTTTCCTCCATCCCACTGAGGGAAGTGCTACCAGAACCAACCCTCCCCCACCACCGTGTGACTAGGACAAAGACACTTGCAATGCAAGATGGTGCCCCGGACAATCTAGGGGACTTTCCTGCAGAGGGAGGACCAAAGTCCCTGAATTGTTGTCATGGTCTCCAAGTACAGAGGCATGTAGGAACTGGGGTGAATTCACAGGCTGATTTGCCCAATTTGACTCAGCCACTTGTGCTGTAGTATCTGGGCCAGACTCAGCATCCAGATTCAACCAAAAGCTCTCCCATCCCACTAGCCCGCTGCCTGGTTCTGGCTGGTTGCAAACTGACTCCCAGGCCCCTTTCTGGCAGTGGTTCCATGTTTTCCCAGAGTTATGGTGACAAATTAAGAGCTGTGGTTTAGTCTGTAGCAAACGGTTCTAAAGGCAGGGACCTATTGAAAAGCTGAACTCCCTAGAAATTTCGGCAGGTAATAGATTCAGAGTCCTCCGTGCCCTGCATCTCTAAATCCTTATATTTAACATTTGCCCATGTTTTGATTTTAGGAATATCAAGAGGACAGGAACGACCTTGTGATTGCAGAGACCGAACTGAAACAAGTGGCTTACATTTTCCAATGCAACAAGTCTACTCTACAGATAAAAGGGAAAATAAATTCCATTACAATAGGTAGGGCAGAATTATGACTCTGAGGTTGCTTTGATGCATTTTCTTGGGCAGACATTCTGTATATTTAGGGGCTTGTTTTTTTTTTCCCCCTAGATAATTGTAAGAAGTTTGCACTTGTGTTTGACAATGTGGTGGGTATTGTGGAAGTGATCAACTCCAAGGATATTCAAATGCAGGTACGTGGCCCTGTGAACCATGCTCTGCCCCCTCTGTGGCTTTGCCAAACTATCTACCCTTCCGGAATGGGGTCTCCCTAAATTCCCTTCCCTCTAGACACACCTCTGTCATCACCTCCTCTCTGATTCCCTAGATTACCTGAGAATTAATTCCTCCTTTTCAGTCTATTATAATGTTACAGGGAACCCCAATGTGAAATGGGTGCCTGACTGTGGGTCCTCACCCGCATGCTTAAAAGGGATTTATAGTGAGACTCCACCACAGGCACACACAAAAAGGGGAAATGAAGAAAGGAATAACTCAGGGAGAAAGAGACAGAGATAAATTGGTGAATGCATCCTACCAGTTCCGCTGAGCTGGAACCCCGATTGCATGCTGAGTGGTGAAAAACCAAGAGAGCCCCAAGGCCCACATGTCTGGTTATACACCAAACCTGGCTGCTTAACTCCACCCTCAGTTCCCAACAACCCTCCCTTCGGTGGTGTGATTACATTATGTGATTTGTAGTCCTTGGTGTCTTAGCTATCTTTTGTCTGGAGTGGGTTACCATCACTATTTCAAGAACTAATTAATCTTTAGAGTCTCAGAAACTTGTACAGTACTTGCACAGGGTATTTGTCAAGAATAAATGTTTGTTGATTGGAGAAAATCTGCAAATGAATGAACAAGAATAGTACAAGATTCTCCAGCATAATAATACCATGCCAGAGAGAATTCCCCTCCAGGAAAAAATTTTTCTGGGTAAGGAGGTAGAAAAGGGGAAATGTTTTCTGAAGTCAGTAAAATCATCAGTAAAACAACCGGGAAATTAGGATTGGAATTGAATTTTCCAAACAAGAATATCTTCATTCCTTTAGACAATTTGACTTAGCCAAATGAGACTTTACAATACACAAAAGCTAAAAGGGCTTCTTACCTTTGGCCAGCTCTGTCCACGCTCTTTGATTATATTCTTTTCATTTTGTTAATTACCCTTGATTACAGAATGTCTCCTAATAATGGTTATTAAAATTGGACTCTGATTTCATAGACTTTTCTCTATAAAAGCCCACTTTTGTCTTACTGGGCCTTTTCACCACTGCCTCTTTTAATTAGAGGATATTCACTTGCATATTTTACGTTTCGGTAACTGCCATTTATTTAAGAAGTTGGTTTTGCTTATTTCCATTTAGTAGAAAGAGCCCTGAACTGTGCACCATGGGACCCGCACATCTTCGCTAGCTCTGCTCTCACCGCTGTGTGCACTGGGACACTCAACTCTGACTACCGTGTCTCTACTCTAAAACACATTGTTAATTGGAGGATTTTAAGTCCTCTCCAGCCCAAATTCTAAGTATGCTTGGCACATAGATACAGTTACAGATAGAATTGTGTCTTTCACATTCTGGTTCCATCAATCCCCTTCTCCTGATCATTCTGCTTCCACTTTTCATAAATCCCATTCCTTAATAGAAAATCATTTAGAAGAACTCACCAAGTAATCCCAACCTATACCAGATTGTTACCTTCACCTTGTTAACAGGGAAAACAACATAATTAATTTTTAGATTCTAGGTTCTGAAATATGAGGTTTTTTGCCCATGACCATCTAGCATTTAGCATTCATCTCTTCATTTGTCTGCCAAATATTTTTTGACTCTGTCTGACATGCCAGTTACTGTTGTCGGCATTACAAACAAGAGTAATCAAATAAGACAAAAATCCTTGCCCTCTTTGGACTTACATTCTGGCCATGCTAACTCCCAATTTTGTATTTCTAATGATCACATTAATGCACTTCAAAACACTGCTTTCCAAAATATAATGAGTGAAAATATTAAGGAAATTATTCATTACCAGAAAAAAATTCAATTCATGAAGGACAGGTGTGGTTCACAGAAACCTTATGATGAGGCCACAGTGAACTGTTCTGGATGGTGGGAGTTTTTGTGTAAAGAGCCAGACTTCCTCGCATTCCACATTATTATTATTTTTTAAAGAGTTATTCATTTATGCATATAAGAAAAGGGGTACAGGCCAGAGGTGCGGGCAGTAAGAGGATCCACCAACCAGAGACAGAGTGGGGAGCAGAACAGGCAGATCTACTGAAATACACTGCTAAGGGGAGCAGCGGGCGAGACAGGAGAGGTCTGCCTCGCCATGTGGGTTGTTCCCTGGCTGGCTGGGGATCGAACTCGTGCTGCAGAAGCTGCTGATTGCTTCATAGTGTGGTGCTTAACCCCTTGCGCCACCAAGGAGGCCCCCACATTATTTTTTAAACAAAAAACCTAGAAATAGTACTTTATGGCAAGAGGTAAGAGTATATAATTTGCAACTATCATGCATTCACTTTGTGTTACACTTAAAAGGAATCCTGGAAATAATTTAACCTAACTCAGCCTCTTTTAATTTTAGAGAATTTATTTCAGGTTTTTGTTTATTCTACAGAAATGGGGTTGGGTAGCAATGATGCAATCGTATCTATAGAATTACCAATATTTTGAATGTATAATTGCATTACATTCAAAATTTTAAAACCAAATGAACTAAATATAAAAAATGAAACTACAAGAAAGTAGAAGAAAACACTTCAAAATAATAATCATATTTATGGGGGAGAAAAAAATTCTAAATTGAAAAGTAATTGAAGGAATTATAATTTATAAAATCATAAGAGACAAGATATGTCTACTTTAAAATTTTTAACTTATGAATTTCATACATTGGAATGCTGTGTAGTCATTTTAAATGGTACCTAGAAATATGTCCACGTCTTGTTAAGAAGAACGAACACTATACCATTATGAAAAGCATGATTTCATTTTTCTAAATACACACACATACATATATACAGAGATATATCTATCTATATCTGATAGTCATTGAGTCAGCTTTTTTTAAAGCTTTATTTTTATTTATGCATACAAGAGCTGGGGTGTAGGCCAGAGGTGTGGGCACAGGGGGTGAGAGGATTCACCAGCGACAGAGTGGGGAGCAGAACAGTAACCATAGGCTTGATGGATTGACTGAAATATACTGCTGAGGGGAGCAGTGGGTGAGACAGGAAAAGTGTCTGCTGTTTACTGTGGGTTAGCTCCCTGGCCAGGGATCGAACTCATGAGGCAGTGGCTGGTGATAGCTTGATAGTGGTGCAGGAGTTAAATCTCAACTCTATCAACCTATCGCCAGCCACTGCAACATGAGTTCCATCCCCAGCCAGGGAGCTACACACAAAGCGCAGCAGACCTCTCCTGTCTCACCTGCTGCTCCCCTCAGCAGTGTATTTCAGTCAGTCTGCCTGTTCTGCTCCCCACTCTGTCGCTGTGAATTCCCTCACCCCACTCACACCTCTAGCTTACACCCCAGTTCTTGTATGCATAAATAACAAATCTTTTTTAAAAATAAAATAAAACTGAACTGAAGGGGTAGTTGCATGACTGGAAATGAACTAAATATATATCATCAAATTGAACATTTAAAACAGGTGAGCTTTAAGTTTATAGATTTTCTCAATGATGCTATTTAAAAAATTGAAAGGAGAAAGAGGCATGAACTGAAGTTCATATGATTTGGTGCAATAATTCTATTTTTGAGAAACAAGTATAGCAAAATAATACAAAGTATGTGAGAAAGACTAAAATATAGAGAAATACAAGATATAGAGAAATAATTACAATTAATACAGAGGCAATTTAAATGCTAGAGCACCAGACTGAAGGTCACAGTTACCTGTCACTCATGGTCCTCTTATTCTTATCAGAAATGATCTCTGTTCTCAAAGTGTTCACAGACGACTGGGGGAAAAGGCATGTATGCAATTGATTCTAAGGCAGTCTTCACCAAAACACTATAGAAATGACAATTCTTACCAGATCATGGTGATTTTTTGGTAAAACTTCTGATCCTAGTCTATTTCTCTCTCTCTCTTACTATTATTTAATCGGCATAACATTGCATTATAACATAAGTTTCAGGTGTTCGTTGTTGAGAATCGCCATGTGCACATACTACTTGAAATTTACTGCAAAAAGTACTAATCCATAGCTCACCACAACGAGGGTATTGCCTCGTTTTCCCTTGTACCAGGAACGATAGCCACTGGTAACCACTAATTGGTCTTACAGTTCAAAAGCTAAATTTTTATTTTTTTCATCTATTTGTTTTTTTCTATATGCCACAGATGAGTGAAGTTATATGGCGTTTGTCTTTCTCTGTATGACTTACATCAGTCACCTTCGTTTTCTGTAGGTTCATCCATGTTATTGCAAATGGCGGAGTTTCATCTTTTTTATAGCTGAATAGTATTCCATTCCATAGATTCCACCACATCTGCCTTATCCATTCGTCTACCAGTGAGCACTTAGTTTGTTTCTAACTCTGGCTACTGTGCATTTTGCTGTAGTGAACATGGGGGTGCATATATGTTTTCAAGTTAGTGTTTTTGTATTTTTCAGGTAAAAACACAGAATTGGAATGACTAAATTATATGGCGATTCAATTTTTAGTTTTTGAAGGAATCTCCATTATGCTTTCTATAATGGCTGCATCATTTTACATTCCCACCAGCAAGGGTGTAAGGGGTTCCCGTCTATCCACATCCTCGCTCACACTTGTTCTTTCTTGTCTTTTAGATAATAGCCATCCTCACAGGCGTGAGGTGATATCTCATTGTTGTTTTGATTTGCATTTCTCTGATAATAAGAGATAATGAACATTCTTTCATGCACCTGTTAGCCATCTGTAAGTGTTCTGGCAAGGGAAACAAAAGCAAAAATAAGCAAATGGGACTATATCAAACTAAAAAGCTTATGCACAGGGAAAGAAACTTGCATCAAAACAAAAATGGGAGAAGGTATCTGCATGCCATCCATTTGACAGGGGTTAACACCCAAAATATATGGAAAAAACTCTTAAAGCTCAACAATAAAAAATACCAACAATCTAATTTAAAAATGGGCAGATGATCTGATAGACACTTCTCCAAAGAAGGGCTGTTTTTTTATTAATTCTGCTATTGCTTTTTCAGATATTCAGATACACAGGGTAATTCAGCAGTTTTAGCATAATATAGCAATATATAAATGCAAATAACATGTACTGGTCTAATGTGATCGCCTCATGTGGCCCTACTGTGTCTCACAAACAAATCACCTAAGACTGATAATTTAGTCTTTTCCCTTTATTTGTCTGGCATTCATTGAGTGCTATTCTCTATGCAAATGCTCTTTGTTATTATAAAATAAGCAGATCTAGAGATGGCCAAAACATTACTGCTGGCACTCTTGAAATATAGTTACATGCATTATCTTTATTTTATTTTATTTATGGCCAGGCTCTGTTCTTACCTGACCTTGAACTACCTCTGCCTTTTTTTTCCACTGGGGCTCATTACAACTAGTGTCCAGTTTCCAGGGAGAGAGGGGAAAACAGAAATACAGTTATCTGGCCAGACTCCCCTAAGGAATTCTTTCTATCACCTGCACCATCGATTGGAGTTGCTCCTTTAGTTAGCAATCAGGCCTTTTCTTCAGGGTGAAAGAAGAGATGTCTTTATCACTTCAATTGCCATTACAAGAAGGCGAATTATAGAATTGTAATATAGTCCTGGGGGAGACAGGGTGCCCCTATAGACATGGGGGTGTTTGAAACCTGCTCCAAAAGAAATTTAAAACTGATCAGAATTTTTACAGCACTTAGATATTTGTAAATAATACAAAGAATCGCTTCCACCCATGTATGGTGCTATTTACCTATACAACAGGTGACCTCAACCAAGTCTCCAGTTTTGGCTCCTGAAATTAATACACTTCAAAATACCTAGACATTCATTCTTTTGTTTAATAAGCTTCACATTCAGGCAGAGAGATTTTTATCTAGCGAAGAATTTAGGTGAAAAGAATCACAGCATTTCTTACTTTTACTAAGATTTAGGAAAAATTTTCATTACAGAAAAAGTTATTTGCTCCTAAATGACAATATTTATTTATGACAGTATTTGTTTTCATCCCAATTGCATCACGATTCCTCAAAACTGAACTTTTAAGCAAATAAAAGTAACGCATCTTGTTTCTTTTATCATGAAATCAAATATATGTTTCAAATCCACTAACAGCCTTGAGACTTTTTCTGAACATTTAGCTGCTGTTTTCTAATTAATCCCTTTATTTGTCTCAGGAAAGAGACCCTGATGTTTGAGAATCTCCTTGTGTGGCCCTTTCATTCATGTCCCCAAATGACACCTACCTGGTGAGCCTGAGACGGTGCCTCTCCAGCACCCCTACCTCCTCCCAGCTACCCCTAAAGCTTGGTTATTCCCATGGAATGTGCTTTTTTGGGGACATTGTAACCCTGTTTCTTTGTTGAGGTCCCGCTTTTTTTTCTTTATTTCAGGTAATGGGGAGAGTGCCAACAATTTCTATTAATAAGACAGAAGGTTGCCACATATACCTCAGTGAAGATGCACTAGACTGTGAGATTGTGAGTGCCAAGTCATCTGAAATGAATATACTTATCCCTCAGGATGGTGATTATGTAAGTACCTTTTCAAAGGCAAGAAAGAATTTTTCTTGAGCCTTCTTATTATTACCATTCTTAGACATTGATTTAGCAGCAACCACCCTATCAGCTTCATTGGTAGAATAATTCACAGGAGGGAAAACAGTCTCACAGAGAAGCTCTGTCATCATCTTACTATCACATCACTCCCAGACAAGATTTGGGAAGACTATAATGCAGCAACTATGAAAGAGGTGTCTTGGCTCTGGAGTATTCTTTACATTGAGAGCAAACACCCAGCCTTATTTATTCATCAAGGTCCCAAGGACCCCAGAAGGGTGTTGGCGGGTGCACACGCAAACACAGTGGTTTCTTAAGACTGTGGCTTCTTTGCTTCATCCTAAGACTGCACGGCAGGTTTCACTCAAGAATTCATCACTCATTATAGAAAGAGCCTTCCCGGGCATCCCTGGTGGCACAAGGGGTTAAGTCTCAGCACTGTGAAGCTGTTGCCCACTGCAGTGTGAATTCGATCCCCGACCAGGGAGCTGACCCACATGGTGCAGCAGACCTCTCCAGTGGTGCCCCACTGCTCCCCTCAGCAGTGTATTTCAGTCAATCTGACTGTTCTGCTCCCCACTCTGTCTCTGGAGAGTTTGCTCACCCTCCCCCCCCACACCTATGGCCTACACCCCAACTCTTGTATATATAAATAAATCTTTCTTTAAAAAAAAAGAAAGAGCCTTCCCTTTAAGATAATGGCTTCTTCCAAAGAAACAGTAGGACCACACATCTAGGAAGATGTACATGTTCCATTGAAACATCACATCTCACCAATGGATAAGCCCAGGCTGCAGCTTAGCAGACACTTGGGGTTTAACAGTACTGTGTATACAGGAAGTCCACGGGGCCACAGTACCAGGGGCCAAGGGAACTGTTCCCTTCCTTTATTTATTCTTCTTAAGAAGTGATCGGAGAATCAGTTTGGAGAGATCCCAAGCGCCTTTCATTTTGACCATTCTGCATTTTTCTTTGCATATACATGTATGTGCACAGGAAGTGTGCTTGTGGTATATAGTGCATGTGTGTGGTACATGTGCATTTATTTCCCAATGGGAAGAATTTAGCTGGAGGAAGGATAACCAATTGGTACACAACCCAAAGCACATTTTTCTATTTCATCACAGAGAAGTCACATAACATGAAGAGAAAGTCTTTCTACCCAGGGCCTCCCTGGTGGTATGCAGCACTATGAAGCTATCTGCAGCCACTGCAGCACAAGTTCAATCCCTGGCCAGGGAGCTACCCACATAGCACAGCAGACCTCTCCTGACTCACCCGCTGCTCCCCTCAGCAGTGTATTTCAGTCAGTCTGCCTGTTCTGCTCCCCACTCTGTCTCTGGTGAATCCTCTCACCCCCACCCCCGCACCTCTGGCTTACACCCCAGTTCTTGTGTGCATAGATAAATAAATCTTAAAAAAAAGGGAAGGGTCTTTCTATAATGAGTGATGAATTCTCCTTGAGTGAAATCTGCCGTAGAAAGTCTTAGGATGAAACAAAGAAGCCACAGTGTTAAGAAACCACTGTGTTTGTGTGTGCCCACAAATATCCCTAGGTGTGGACTCTGGCTGCACTGCTTATTGGTGATACCATCTTGGGCTGGTTGCTTATCTTGCCAGCCTCCACTTCCTGTAGATGGCATCTCAGGAATACTGAGCTCTCAGAGTTGTTGTAGGTGATTTACTGAGTTCACACACACCCTGGATGTCAGTAAGTTCCCCCCCCGTAGTGATGAGGCTGGCTCAGCCTGAGAACTGAGACGTGACCCTGCAAGTCTGCATGTGACATGTGACACCGAGGACCTCTCCATGACGCAAATTTGGGTTCCATAAGATGTCTCTGTTCATCATGTGACATAGTCAGCCTTCCCTCTGCTTCCAGAAGGAAGCCTTGGTTTAAGTGACTGTTCTTGCTTTTTGCAGAGGGAATTTCCTGTTCCGGAGCAGTTCAAGACATCGTGGGATGGCTCGAAGCTGGTCACAGAACCTGCTGAAATTATGGCCTAAGCTCCAGAGAGACTGAACCCCCTGACCCGACTCTCCCCTTTTCCCATACTTGCAAAAAAAAAAAAAAAGCAGCATTAAAGACCTAGAAGTTGCAGGAACACCTACTGCTTTCATTTTGGCCTCCAACAATTATAGAAACAGCATCATTTCTGGCATGCTTTCGTGGGCATTTTGCAGTTTAACATTTCCTCATGATTTGCTTTTGTGTGTGAGTCAAGCCCCACTTGACGACTCGTGAGCGTTCTACATTGAAAGGGGGAACAAGAATGCTGTTCCCGCGTATCATTAACAGCACTGATAGGTAAAAATATCGCATGATTCACCTTTACACTTAGGTTTAGCCGCTCATTCGCTTTTATATTTATGTTTAACGACTAGTGAAAAACAAAACCTTTGAGAATCTAAGATGTGCATTTTTACCTTTTAGGAAACTTCAATGTGATATCGCTGTAGTAGTATGCTCTGAAAAGCACACGATATGATTTTCTTCCTTATTTTTCCCACGTGTTCACCTTTTCCCACGTGTTCATCAGCATGGATCTACTGGCAGCATGAATACATGAATATTCCAATCCATGTTTTTAAAAAATACAAGAAAATTACATACTAAGCATCGTGTTAAGTTTCTTGGTCCTATACACTGCAGTTACTAAAAATCTAAATTCTAATGACTTATCGTAAAAATTTTTCCACCATGTCACTTGGAAAACTTACTTTATTGTGTAAAGGTTTTCATGCCAAAAGATTGGTGGAAGCAGTTTTTTGTTTGGTTTCTTTGCTGTAGAGTACTCACATCACACTCAATTTGTGTTTTCCAGTTTTGAACCTGTTAAATATCGGATGCCTTGTACATGACATTTTTAACATTTTAATTTAGGTTACTTTCTTCTAAATCACTTGCTGGACTTGCTTATCAGTCTCAAAAATGAACATGAAAAGCCATAGATGTATTATGTCCTGTAAAACCTACGGAACTATTTGTTGGTTAGGCTTGCTGCTCCTATTTTTGTAGTATTAATAGTACATGCTTTTCCAGCATATGATAACTATGATATTCCTTTGTATCTTGAAGTACATAGTGCTGAAAAGTCTGCAACTTCTTGGATGACATGTAATGAATTTTAGTATCATGCTTGCAGGCCCAATACAAGCATATAGATCGTGCCTCTTACAGCCTTTGGAATACATCATTTCCGTTTTTTAAATATCTTCTCTATCCATATAAAATTATTAATGCTCTTTATCAAGGTTTTGCTATAAAAGTTTTGTCCTAATGAATAATGTTGTGGCTTTAGTAAATATCTTTTTTTCAACTGTAAACTTATTCTAAAATAAAGTAAAACTCTAATTGTTTATATACTGTGATGGATTCTGGGTGTTAAAATTGTTTGTGTGTGTGTGTGTGTGTGTGTGTTCTGGGATTCATGCCTGGCTCATATGTTGGAGTTAGGCAAGATGACCTTTTTTTAAAAAAAGATCTATTTATTTATGCATACAAGAATTGGGGTGTAACCCAGAGGTGTAGGGGGCGAGAGGATTCACCAGAGAGAGTGGGGAACGGAACAGGAGGATCTATTGAAATACATTGTTGAGGGGAGCAGCAGGTGAGGCAGGAAAGGTCTGCTGTGCCATGTGAGTTGCTCCCTGGCTGGGGATCGAACTCGTGCTGCAGTGGCAGCTATAGCTTCATAGCACTGTCTTTAACCCCTGCGCCACCAGGGAGGCCCTAGGCAAGATGATCTTCTAATTGAATTAGAGAACGCACCCGAAATGCCATTAGTTTCCCTGGATGACTTCTTCAAGTTAGTAGATTGGCATGACTATCAGAAAGTTCTAGAATCTAGTTTTATAATTCATCCTTCTTATAGATGTCTGTTAGTGGAAACATCCCAGAAAATAAATTTAGTTTGTAAAGTTAATACAGTATTACATAAACCATATAATTTTAAATGTCTAATGTGAATATAAATAACTTTTAAAATTATAAATGAATTTCTAGGAGATAAAGTGGAAAGAAAAGATGAACAAAGTTATACTACATATTCATTACATAGTAATAATTTTATACTAAAAAATAAGTCTTAGAATTTGTTGAATTTCAAAATGCTTCACCACAGATAATGAAAGTCTGACCTTGAGGTTTCAACCATTATTTACCAAGCAACCCTAGTGCCCAAAGCCATCAGCTGTTTTTTTGAATATGTTGAATTTGTTCAATAAAAGAAAAAAGTTGTCAATGTATAGGAACACAATCACCAAGATTGATGCTTCCTTTCCAATATGTCTCTTTTCTTGCACTGGTTGAATTGCAATGCTATCAATGCAATGACCTTACAATTCTTGACACAGTGGTAAAAAATTCATATATAACAATATTGTATGTCATACACACACACACACAAAAAAAAAAAAAACAAATGAAAATGTGTCAGATAAATTAAAAGTGCCGAGGATCTATGTTTTATTCTACAAAATGATAAAATGATCCCAAAGAATATGTTGTCTTAAAAATCCTTTCTTTGATGACACTGTTTGCACTAAATCATCTGTTTATTAGTAACAGTCTTCCTTCCACAGCAAGACTTCTTGACGTGCATAATCAATATCAACTCCTTATCTATGATAATTCTATAACTATAGGCAATATATATGTATATATAGTTTTACTCATTTCTCTTTCATTCATGTGCTTCAACTTCTTAGGATCTAGATGAGTTTATCTAAAGGAGCTTCTCATTTTAAAGATAAAAAATCTGAGGTACAGTGACATAAAAATCTTACATAAGGACAAGAACACACACTGCTTTTTATAACTCAATGATTTGGCTTCTAATTTCACCACATTTCTAAAACTCAAAAGTCCTCAAGTCCTCATCCTTCATCCATTGGGATTCTAGACACTCCCTTTCTTATTAAATGTTCTTGGTTTAGTGACACAATATACTTTTCTGACTCTTAACTTTCCCCACCTCAAAAGCTCCCTTAAGTTTTGTTGCCTAAATTCACCTATCACCCCTAATAGATGACTCCCAAATCCACACCCCATGCCCATCTCCCTAGATTCTTAATTCCAAGGGTCCACAGAGTATTTCTACCTGCTGCCCCAATTTCATTCAACATGGCTAAAATTAATGCACATTTCCCACAATATCCACATGCCTTTCTAGCTTCAGTCGATGGCTACCTCAGATGTGTCCATAAATTTAAAACCAAATCCCACGAAACACTCTTTAGAGAGAACCAAATTTGGAGGGAACTATGCTTCAGTCTTGAACCTACTAAGTTCAGAGCATCTTTGTGAGATTTAATCAGAAATGGAGAGGAAGACAGAGCGAAATCTGCAGTCATTTCCACTGTGTTTCATACCAATTCCTTAGGAATCATTGCATAAGTTTAATATTCTAGAAAAGCCTTATTAAACATGTTCGTTTCAAAAGACTTTTTTTAAACCATTGGCACTTTCTGCTCCCCTTCAGATACCACTGTAATTTTAGGCCTTTAATTGTGCCAACTGAAACAAGCTAATTTTATAATCTTTCCCAGATTTCTTTTGTAAGTTTCACCATTTCGATGTTTCTGTACATGATTTTTTTATCTGTTATGTGTAGACAGTAAACAGCTCAAATTAATCCATGCAACATTTTTTAAAAAAAGATTTATTTATTTATGCATACAAGAACTGGGGTACAGGCCAGAGGTGCGGGGGCGGTGAGAGGATTCACCAGAGACAGGCGGGGAGCAGAACTGACTGAAATACTCTACTGAGGGGAGCAGCGGGAGAGACAGGAGAGGTCTGCCGCTCCATGTGGGTTAGTTCCCTGGCCGGGGATCGAACTCCAGCTGCAGTGGTTGATGATAGCTTAATAGTGCCGAGACTTAACCCTTTGCACCACCCGGGAAGCCCCCATGCAAAATTTCTACATTATTTTTTGTTCCTGTACATATTTTACAAAATATGCAACAAAGATTAACATCTGCTTATGAGTAAGGTTTTTTCCCCCAGATTTCCTTCCAATGTAATATATCATTTTATATTTAAAGATAATTTTGCCTAAAACTACAACTTTGACTATTTGAGTACAAAGTGCACTTTCCTTCTATATCTTGCTTTTTAGGACCATCTCAAATTAGGAAAAAAAAGAGGTATTTCATGCTGACTTGAAAATGAAGGAAATGCATCCTTTTCTGCACGTACTATGCCATGATACTAAATCTTATTCACCAATATTTTTTTCATTAAAATCCACTTTAAAATTTCCCATTTATTAATTTCTTGCTATATTTAATAATAACCATGGCCTTATTTTCTTCTAGTCAAAAATCAATAGACTTCCAATGGGAAGTCTTCCCATGAATACAAAAGCTACCTAAAGATTTTGAGGGGGAGACTATTCTTTCCTCCTCATTGTCCTTTGGGGACATAGTCATGTCCACACTCTATGAATGGCATACACCCCCTAGCAGGGGCGATGATGGATGTCATGTGGACCCCAGAAACCAGGAGGGTCCCACATGGTGCGCAGACCTCTCCTGCCGCCCACTGCTCCCCTCAGCAGTGTACTTCGGTCCTTCTGCCTGCTCTGCTCCCCGCTCTGGCTCTGGTGAATTCTCTCACCCTCCCACGCTTCTGACTGTACCCAGTGCATGTATAAACAAAACAAACAAACAAACAAATAAATAAATAAACATGCCTCTATTAAAAAAAAAAAAATAAAAACTATAGAGAAAATACACAAATTACGTGGATGCAGATTGGCAGTACCAGGATAGTAATGGCCTTCTGCAATAAGCATGATAAAATCTCTGATCCTTTCTGGATATTTAAAGATATTGTCCTGTACCATTACTAAAAGAAAATAGCAGTGTGCAGAAATGATTTTGCAAGAGTTATACATGATATGTTTGTTCAGACAAAAAGGACATAAATTTATGGCAATAGAGTAGTTAGTTATTTTGAATATATGAATTTTTCATCTCCTGACATAGAAAAAAGTTGGATGAAATAACCAGGAGTTTCTGCCACCATCGTGAATCTCTCTTCTTTCGTTCTGACTACAAAGCAAAGTCAAAACAGATTTTTATATTTATCTGACTAATTTAAGCAAAAGATATTTTATCTGTCTATTGACAACAAGAAATAATATTTGAAAACCGGGCCTCCCTGGTGGCCTAGGGGTTAAGTGCCAGTACTAAGTATCACCGCTAAGGCCTGAGTTCAATCCCAGCCAGGGAGTTACCCACATGGCGCAGCAGACCTCTCCTGTCTCGCCCACTGCTCCCCTCAGCAGTGTATTTCAGCCAGTCTGCCTGTTCTGCTCCCTGCTCTGTCTCTGGTGAATCCTCTCACCACCTACCACCCCTGGCTTGCACCCCAGTTCTTCTATGCAAAGATATATATATATATATATATATATATATATATACACACACACACATATATATGCAATGTATATATTTGAAAATCACATATATGTATTTGAAAACCTAAGTCATCCAAATTACCTGTCCATATTCTAGTCAATTTCCTAGTCTCAATCACAGCTGATATACATGTATCTGAAGACTAAAGAAAGAATGTTTGAATGTAAGTCTTCTCAGTGGCTGTGGAATTCAAGGAGTGATGTCTCATCATTTAGCAACTAAAATCTGGTTCACTAGAGAATTATCAAAATGTTCCATCGTTTGTTAGGCTCTAAAATAATGACACCAGCAATATGGTCTCCATTCTGCTTCTACCAACTGGCTAGACAGCTACTTTCTCAAAATTAAATTAATTCCATACTCTCTATTTACAGAAATGTTTCTCTGTAATCTCTCACAAGATACAGCTTTCACACCGGGATTAACTTCAAGGAGAAAAGTTCATCCTTCCTGAATGCTTCAGAAAAATAAAGTAGGTCTTGCATTAATTAGAAAGAGCTTTGGCATAAGAATCAAAAAATCTGTTTTACATTCTAAAAGCCAGAGAGATGTGTCCGTATAACAAACACTGTGACGCCTTTAGAGATAGGTCGTTCTTTAAAAATGAGAGCAATATGTTATTTTTTTCCAATTATGACCTAACAAATGTACAATAAAATTGTCTGTGGCACAGTCACTAGCTGTTCACCAAAAGCTGTTCTTCCTCTTTAGTAGACTACATTTCTCCTTTGCAGTCAGATGGTCACATGACTAGATAATCCCAGAAGGAGGGTGGATGTTAAGTAAATCCCACATCAGTCTTTTAAGAAAGTATATTTTCTCCATGTTCTCTTTCCCATCCACCAGTGAGATCTTGGACAAGGCAACCACTCAATCATGCAGATGCTGGTATGTCCTAGTCATGTAAAAATAGCACATTTTGGGTTCCTGATTATGGAAAACAGCCACCCGCTGGAGTCAGCTGCAAAAGT